GTGTGTGTGTGTGTGTGTGTGTGTGTGTGTGTGTGTGTGAGAAAGTGGGTCATGGTCTGGATTCTGGAGAATGTCTTTCCTGGCAGGCCCCTGTGGGGTGGCGGGAGGCGGGGGCCCGGGCAGGGGCATGTGCAGCTGAGCAGGCAGAGGCCAGCAGACTGGGTGGTGACAAGGCTGGGGCACCCTGCCAATGCCTCCCAGTCACTGGGGGAGGGAGTGGGGCTGTCACTTCAGGGGCCTGTGGGGGCAGGGACCACCCTGTCTTAGTTCCCCAGTGAGTTGTGTATGTTGGGGTTACTCACACCAGGAAGAGTGTGGAAGTTGCAGCATGGGGGTTTGGGGGAACTGGGGCACTGGGATAGGCCCAGGTTGGGGAGGGGGCCAAGCTTAGACCTGCCACTTCTTTGCTTCCTGACTTCCAGCTGGTCTTCTTCCCCTAGAGTGGTTCTCTTAGCACTGTTTAATATTCCACCATTAGGTTTTTCCTTAGAAGGCAATTTCTCCCTGAAGTTACCTGGGGTCTCTGGTTGAAGTGGGCAATGGTGGGGGAGATTGAATCCCAGAATCTCAGCCTCCTTTCTGCCGTCCCCTCCTCTCAGAAGCACCTCTCCGGGTTTGGAGATCACATTAGCCTGTAATCCCAGCACTTTGGGAGGCCGAGGCGGGTGGATCACGAGGTCAAGAGATCGAGACCATCCTGGTCAACATGGTGAAACCCCGTCTCTACTAAAAATACAAAAAATTAGCTGGGCATGGTGGTGCGTGCCTGTAATCCCAGCTACTCAGGAGGCTGAGGCAGGAGAATTGCCTGAACCCAGGAGGCGGAGGTTGCGGTGAGCCGAGATCGCGCCATTGCACTCCAGCCTGGGTAACAAGAGCGAAACTCCGTCTCAAAAAAAAAAAAAAAAAAAAAAGCATTGCCTTGGGGGAATTCCTTGACAGATGGCCAAGAACCAGCTGGGGACTGCCTCCTCTGACTGCTAGGAAATGGGGCAGGGACAGGCCAGCCAGGTCACTCAGGTGGTCTGGATTGTTCTGGGGTCCTGGCAGTGGACCCCTGGTTGGTGCTGATTCAGGGCATCATCCTGGGCTATAGAGGTGAATTAGATGGTGTTGGCATGGCTTTGCCTAAACATCAGTACTTCTCAGTGGTTCCACCAGACCCCTCTAGGCTGCCACGTAGAGCCTGTTAGATCGGTTCTGTTTGTTGTCTTTGAGATAGGGTCTTGCTCTGTCACCCAGGCTGGAGTGTGGTGGCAAAATCTCTGCAACCTCTGCCTCCTGGGTTCAGGCGATTCTCCTGCCTCAGCCTCCTGAGTAGCTGGGACTATAGGCATGCGCCACCTCTGCCAGCTAATTTTTGTATTTTTTTTTTTTTTTTTTTAGTACAGACAGGGTTTCACCATGTTGGCCAGGCTGGTCTCGAACTCCTGACCTCAGGTGACCCGCCCGCCTCAGCCTCTCAAAGTGCTGGGATATAGGCGTGGGCCACTAGGCCCGGCCTAGATCAGTTCTCTTTCTGTCATCGATGTCTACCCTCTCCCTTCCATGGCCATCCTGGATGGGCCCTGTGTCCCACATTCTCACCCACATGAAAGGATTGGGGCTGTGGCTGGGCACAGTGAAGCCCCTCTGCTCCCATCAAACACAGCCTCCCTGGCGAGCGCCGACCCCTTCACTGAGGGTCACACCTGCTGTGCCCAGCACCTACCATCTGAGTGTTCAGAGGTACTAAGTGCTGTGCGGAGGGCTTTGAGGCGATTTCTCCTGAGTCCTGGGCAACGCAGGAGGGCCAGCTGTTACTGCATCCATTCCACAGGCCAGGACGCGGGCTCCCCGGAATTGCAGGGCCCCACCCAAGTTCATACATGTTAGTGGGGGTAGAGCTTCGATATCTACTATGATGTCCACCTTCAAGGCTTTGAAGTAGAGCTCTTTAGCGCCTCGGTGGCAGACCCGCTCTGGGCGCTCTCCTGCCCCCCCCACCGGGGTGGGAGAGGATGAGGGAAGGGCGGAAAGGATGTGGTGTGTTGGCAGAGCCCGGGACACCCAGCCCGCTCCTGGCCGGGAGTCCCACAGGAAGTGGGAGGTATCGGAGCTGCAGCAGCACCTGGGGCTCACGTGGGACTGGTGGGTGTGCTGGGCCTGGGGACAGGAGCTGGGAGCGCTTGGGTTCTGGGCCTGGGTGCGTGGAGGCTGGGCCTTGGCGAGGCCAGAGGAGCTGCTCCTTCGTGTTCAGCCGCTGCTCCCTAGCAACCCAGCGCAGCTTTGCATAAGCAATGAAGCCTCTCCAGCTGTGGGCAGGAGGGGCTCCTTGGGGAGGCTGGAGTGACCTGGGGGCTGCTTCTGCCACTATAGCTGGGCTCGTCCTTCATGCCTGCCCTTCTCTTCCTCCTGGGCTCAAATGGGCCATTGGTGGAGGATGAGGAAGGAGACGGGGGAGGGGAGTGCCAAAGCCTGTGACCTGAGGTGCTCTCTGCTCACCTGTGGTGATTCCATGTTCTCCCACAGCCATGGGCCCCGGACAGTCCCAGGAGCTCCTGAGTGCCCCCTCCTAGGGCCCGAGCCCCGCTTTCAGAAGTCCTGGTATCTGATGTGTCCTCATTCTGTCTCCATCCCCAGTTCTGGCATAAAGCATGCTTCCATTGCGAGACCTGCAAGATGACACTGAACATGAAGAACTACAAGGGCTATGAGAAGAAGCCCTACTGCAACGCGTGAGTCCTGTTCTGGGCGGGGCTGACGGGTGCCCGGGCCCCCTCCCCACCTGGGTTCTTCCTTCCCTTCTGATAAACACAAGGCAACACTGACACTTCCACCCCATTCATCCTCACAACAGCTGGATGAAGCAAGCACTTTTTATCCCCATTTAAAGTGCATTGAGGCCGGGCGCTGTGGCTCAAGCCTGTAATCCCAGCACTTTGGGAGGCCGAGGCGGGTGGATCACGAAGTCAAGAGATCGAGACCATCCTGGTTAACATGGTGAAACCCCG